AAACTATTCTATGATTCTATGATTCCCCAATCCAACTGCCTTGACAAAGGCCTCATTCCTGGGGGCCATCAGCCTTAAGCAGCAGCTGGGGCTGCGTGGAGCTGCCCGGTCACCCACCCCAGGGACCTGCACAGCTTCTGTCAAGTGCTGAGCTGTCCCAGGCCATTTGTGAACTGGGGCTTTTCACTGCACGGGTTCCCATTGGCATGGCTTTCTGGCACCTGGGGACAAGGCTACAGCAAAGTCACTTCTGCCCTCACTTAGTGGGTTGATAAATAATGACACAGGGGAGCTTCTGTGTGTGTCAAACGCTGTTCTCACAAGAAGCGTCTCTCTACATTGTGCACTTTGGAGCACACTTTTCTTCTCACATCCAGTCTGTGAATACAGAAACGCATAGGGCCACTTTTCGTATCTCGGGGGCGTCAGCTGGGCCTGTGTTTCAAGAGCTCTGCTTACAGTCACGGTGTCTGCCTGCCGTGCTGTGAAAGTCACCGAGTGCCCCCTTTCTGCAGCCTAGCTACGTGTGCTTTACCAAGGCAAACTCACTCTTGTTGCCACATTCCCTTTGTGGCGGTCACTCTACGCAGGTCTGAAATTTAAGGTCGGAATACTAGTCCTCCCACGGACCCCGGCTACAGCTTGAATTTCCCTGGGTAGCCATGAACCGTTCCAGGGCTTGGCAGCGTTTATGCAATCAGGACAAATCTTCAGCCTCTAACTGGTCTGCCGCCATGCCCGAGCAGCGACACGCGGGCAGGGTACAGCTGCGCATGCATGTCTGTCTTTTCTGCCTCTTACAGCATGGCGTCGAGGACACGGCAGCAGAATGCGAAAGGCTGGGAGCCACTGTTCAAGCCTTCGTGGTGGACTGCAGCAAAAGGGAGGAAATCTACAGCGCTGCAGAGAAGGTAGGGGAGCAGGGGCACGTCCAAAGGCTTACCCAAACGTGCTCGGTTTTCAGAAAGGTCAGGCAAACAAGAGAAGAGGTACTGTACACAAGTCATGCCAGCCCTTGGACTCTCCCCGCTTCTGGCTGCTTTCTGTACGGAGAGTGAAGTAGCACTTCCGAGATCGCAGCCAGTCTCATCCTCTTTTGTGAGGCTCTGGCGTATCGCGCCTTGTTGCCAAGTTTGCTCTTTAGGCTTCCAGCTCCTGAAGGAACTTCTGCTTTTTAGTTTCCTGAACAGCACACAGACAACACTGGGGACATTTGAAACATTTTATTGTAAAGGATATGGTCCAGCTGGCTCAAAACAGTCTGTACGTCCATAGTCCCAACTGTGAGTACGCAGAGCATACTGTGTCTGTGGGCAACGTGTGGAAGACTGTAAATACTGGCAGTAATTAAGGGAGAAGCATCAGAGCTAAACCAGCTTTCATGGTACTACTGCACAGTTCCTACCACATCTGGAAATGTGGCGCCATCTTCCTCTCCCTAAAAGGAACAACGTTAAGAATTAAATTGTCGCTCATCTTCCACAGCCTTGCATTTTTTTGATAACTAATGACACGCACCTTTCTGGGCTTTTTTCTGTCCAAAAGGTGAAAAAGGACATTGGGGATGTCTCCATCCTGGTGAATAACGCTGGCGTGATTACAGCTGCCGACCTGCTCTCGACTCAGGACCACCAGATTGAAAGAATGTTTGAAGTCAACATTCTTGCTCACATCTGGGTAAGGGCCACTACCATCTTCATACCTACGTTTTTTGGGGAGCGTTGCTGAGGAGGCATAGTTAGACTAACAATTATTTTCAGCAACCAGTGAATTACAGAAGCGTCTTTCGGACATGTATAGCACAGGGGCACCCAGCTAGACTGACTGCTGGGAAACCTGATTATCCTCTTGCTGATCTGAGCCTGGCCCAGTTTTTTCATTCTCTCTTTCCTCTGCGTGAGCTAGCCGGTGGCAGCCTCATCTGCAGCATGGGTTGGTCTCTGTCAGAGGTGTATTAGGGTTCTCTTTGCATCGGGTAGTTTCGGCACCTGCAGCATAGCGCCGAGACCCTGCAAGTAGAAGATACACAGCTGAAACATACAAAGCAATGTTTTTATCGGCTGAACCGCACAAAGGGCAGCCGGCACGTGGCCCGAATGGCCAGGCAGGGCCTGGCAGGTGCGGGTCGGGCAGAGCAGGGGAGGGGAGGGCCAGCCCCACAGCTCCCAGCACAGCCCAGCTGCAGGGCACAGCGAGGCCTGGCCCCTCCCTGACTGCACCCACCAGCCCAGCCGATCTCCCTGGGTGCTCTTCCCCTCGCGGTTTGTACCTCGCTGTGTCGCCACCTTCCCTCCTGTCTCCTTGAGCTACTTCTGAGCCCGTCTCCCATCATCAACCCCGCCTCTCCTCGTGTTTTGTACCTCTCTCATCTCTCTGCGGACTTTCTCCCAGC